TAGAAAATAATCGAGGTTGATCTAGTAAAATCGTAACAATATATTTGATTGGCGTATGCAAGCACTCTGGTAGCTGGAGACTTCGTCACTATTAGCAGTGTTGTTAACTCATTTAATCATATTCCTCTTTCAATCAGGTGTGAAATGGGTAGTTGGAACATTAGTTTGGTTATTTTGGTGAATTTCTAAACCATGAAATCGACGATAATTTTGCATAAATAATAATCGATGTTATCGGTAGCTCTATCAATGTTTTTTCACCATTGTGCCAATGTTTATGTATACATGTTATCTTTGGTATACATAGCCGAAATAGTGATTTTAATACTACGCGCTCAAGTAATATTATCATATTATTTTAATAATATTACGAACGTTTAATATCTGAGAACTATGTATAATCAACAGGAGTCTGACATTCATTAAAATCACAAGAAGCAATTTAGTATGACAGATTACTTTGTGGAATCAGTGGGCTCTGTACCGACATTATATGTTTTCAGAAATATATTTGAAGCAAAGGAAATTTCTGAGCAAATTCAGCTTTTTGCAGGCATATATGAGGAAGAACTAAATAAATCATTTATTGAATTCTGGTCCTTAAACAGTGACAAAATTTTGGCAGAAAGACTTTGGATTAATGAAACTAACAGAGAACCGATTTGGTTTGCAGAGGTAAGTTCAATTATAAAAGTATGGCGTAAGTGCAGCACATTAATAGTAAAAATTGTTTTTAATTTTTAAACTGTCATTTAATGTTTTTAAAAAAACTATAATACATATTCTCTGTTCACACACAAAGTTAATTCAATAGAAAAAAAAAATGTGTTCAACTAAACCAGCTATTTTTTTAAAAACCATAACACAAAAATTTACTATTAAAGAGCATTTTTTTTTTTTATTAAATACATAAAATATTGTATTTTTTTGCTTTGTATGTATACCTGTGGTATATATTTTCTTATATGTGCATTGCGCAAAAAACTTATTAAAGCCGCTGTAGTAGAACCTTTGTATAAAACTTTTTTTTTCAAGATTGCTAACATTCAGCCACATGGAGTCCGTATGAAACAACATAGGCAAAGATTTGCAAAGTACCTCGTTGTTTGCTAACTTTGCCGCTATTTTTAGTAAACAAATTGTCAAACCTTCGGCTGTGGTGGCGTTAATGCTTAAGAATCCGATTTTTTTTCAATTCTTTTACGGCAATGTAATGAAATCGTTCTAAAACCTTTTTAAATTTTTCAGAGTGATGTCGAATCTTATCAAAACTTTTGTGAACAAATATACGTGGAACAGTACCAAATTTATATCAAAATATATTATGAATATTATAAGCACCTGCATAAATCATTGACCGAAAAATTTGATGACCAACCTATTTCTTGTGAAGAAGAAATTGATGCAAGTTTTGTAGACGATTTCGAAAAACTACAGTTGCTGGGGCTCCCAACTGCATTTGGTCGTGGAACAGTTGTAAAGCAGACGAAAAGTAAAAGGTCTTATCCGAAGGTTTATAGCGGGTATTTCTCTGATGAGGACAACGATTGTGCAACTGTGATGGATCCTGTAAAAATAAATGATCTCAAAGATGACGATGTGAAAAATTCAGGAACATCTTCTGTTCATGACATTGAAGTGAAAGTTATTGGAAAGAAAAAAAAGAATCGGAAATTGAAAGGGGTCCCCGATTTCGTTTTAGAAAATAAGGAAATCTTAAAGTATTGGAGAAAGCGTTTTTCACTCTTTTCGCGATATGATGACGGCATACGCTTAGACTGCGAAAGCTGGTTTTCAGTAACACCCGAAAAAATTGCTACACATTTAGCGGATCGACTATCGTGTGATTTAATTATAGATGCTTTTTGTGGCTGTGGAGGAAATGCCATTCAATTTGCACGCACCTGTAACAGGGTAATCGCTATCGACATTGATCCTATTAAAATAAGTATGGCAAAACATAATGCAAAAATTTATGGGGTAGATCATAAAATAGATTTCATAATTGGAGACTTTCTTCAACTGAGTCGTTGCGGGCGTTTTCATAGCGATATTATATTTTTAAGTCCTCCCTGGGGAGGGCCAAAGTATAAACGAAAGGATCACTATGACATTGAGAATTATTTACAACCATGCAATGCGTCGTCTTTGATGGAAACCGCTAAGTCTATAAGTGAAAATGTGGTATTTTATTTGCCCAGAAATACTACTATTAGTCAAGTAATCAAATTAGCTGATAAGGGAAACAGATGTGAAGTAGAGCATAATTATTTAGATTCAAGGCTTGTTGCTATTACAGCTTTATATGGAGAAAGTATATTAAAAGAAAAAGATATATAAAAAAATAAATATAAAATTAGACACTTTTTAAAGAGTTAGTAAACGGTTAGTTTACATATACGTATATGTATACATACATATGTAGCACATAATTGTAATTTTACTGAAATATTTTTAGTCCGAACAAATTACACAAAAAAATACTTAAGGTAGTGTATAATTTTGTAAAATTGTAATGTGTAAATATAGAAAATATAGATTTTAAAAATTTCTTTAAATTTGCTGGAAAATTACCAAATTTGTGTAGGTTGTTAGAAAAAAGATTCATTTTCCACATACAAATTGTATTCCCTCACTTTCCAAACTTTATTGATCAGAGCACTGGTCCAGATCCTTATTGAGACTAGCGAATTAAAATGTTTCGATTTACAGGTCTATTCGAGGCAATAAAATTTACTTTGGTATTAAAATTTACCAATCAGTAAATTTAGTTACTATTTCGTATTCTGAGTTCACTGTCGCCCAGTAAGTTTTGTTACCCGCGGAATATTAGGTAACAAATCATCTGCTGTGTGATTTTGTTTTGTTAATTTGCGAAGAAATAAATTACAAAATGTATAGGCATATTTTATGTCTATGATTCACTGAAGATGAAGAAAAGTCATGTTAAGAAAGTTTTCGAGAAAAAAATTACGCTTTTAATTTGGAAGATGGCGTTTTTTGTCGCCTTGGTATATTTTCCATTATTGCGTTCAATGTTTACGACTTAAAAAACAAATAAATAAAACTTACTTAAAACTTACCAACTGGCAAACGTAATTTGACATAGCCGAAAAGCAGTACGCTACAACAAAAAATTAAATTTCAAGTGTTAAAAACTGTAACAGCGAGAATAGACATATTAAAAATATATTTTAACAATATTGATACATTTTTCTCGGCTGCAGTATCCGCGTGGCTAGTCCGGAAGGGCTCAAATTGGAATAAAAAAATTTAGCAAAATTTTGCTGTTGTTGTAACCGCAAAATTACTCCCTAAAGTGACAGTTCTTGGACGGATAAAAATCCGGGTCGTTCCGGTATAAAGACCTGACAGTCGCGGGAACTATTGGATTTCAGCCGCCTTTTACGACAGACATGCCTTACCGCGAGTAAATTCTTTAGCCCCTAACCCGCAGGGGGTAGCAAAATTTTGTAATTACGGTCGCCTCTCGAGTGTATTTCTGGCCATTCCGTGTTTCGAGTCTTGGTTCGACCAACATTAAAAATTATAGAAAATCAATTTTTCTAATAGCGAATGACCATCTGCAGCAAATGTCAAGCTCTCTAAGTATATTTCTGACACGAAATAAAGCTCATAAAAATCCATCGGTTGTTCGGAAGCGGTTTATAATAAACTGTAGGTCTCATCATGACACACACCACAAATTGGAGGAGGAGTTCGGCCGAAAATCGATTCAGCGGTTACTAAGCGTCAGCTTCTCTGCTGAAGATTCTGCACGCAACCTTCGGTCATATGTAATCGCAGTCATATATCACAGTCCCAAGAACCCAGTGATCATGACCTCTCCTTCCTTAAAAGTAATCCAGCAAGAACGACCTAAGCCATTCATTAACACATAAGCACAACTACCAGCTGACAACCAACACAAGCACAATATAATTTAGATGCTCTACGTATGTCGAAAGAGGAAAGTGATGTACCATTCTTCTGATATTCGCAGTAAATATATCGTATGCGTTCCCACTCATTTCTAGTTTGTAAAAGTCCTCGGAATTGTTTGGAAGGCAAAATATTTGTGGTAAAAGTTTTGCACTAAATGTTTACTTAAAATTTAAAAAGCGCCATTAAATGAAGAAAAGCAATATCTTCTGTCAGGCTGGAACAATTACTTTCGGGATTAACATATTGATTGGATAATCCGTATAATCAAAGCATTCCCTAGTATTATTTGAGCGATGAACGTTGGAACGACTGAACAAACTACAGAAATACCAACCGTTACTACTCTACAGCAGACCCAAACTCAGCAACAGTAACCCGTCGCCATGTGTCACGAGAATGTACAAGCTCAATTCCAGAATATTTAGAAGCAACTTCAACTTTTACCCAGGATAACAACGTCAACAAATTCATTTGCGTACACTGCCTTCGGTAAATTATAAAAACTCAAGAAATTAATTTTATTATATATATAATTGGCGCTTTGTAACCGCTGAAGCGATTTTCGGCCGAGCTCCTCCTCCAATTTGTGGTTTTACGTCTTGATGTTTTTCGAACAAATGGAGGGACCTACAGTTTAAACTAAGCCGTCTCCGAACCGCTGATGGTTTTTTATGAGGAGCTTTTGATTTTCATGTCAGAAATACACTCGAAGGGTTGACATTCCCTGCCGAGGAGCGAACGCAATTAGAAATGGATGTTGGTCGCATGGAGATTTGAGCCCGAGCCTTCCGAATGGCAGTACGCAATGCTAACTACTCGGCTACCGTGGTCGCCGACGTATATGCCTTATTAAAAATGGATACGAGTGAAATGGACATTATAAATTTACATGGAATTAGTCCATATGAAAGAGTGAGAAAAAAAATCACACACGCAGTAAGTATCCCTTACTTTTTCCCGAAGGTGTGTACAAAGTAATGGAAAGTTTTTTTTTTCGATTTATAAGCGATACCTTCCTTTAGTCATATGGCTTATATAAGGGTTTACTAAGCTTATATAAGGGCTTATGTTATATAAGCCATACTGTTCTTGCTGGCTAAGAAGAAAATAATTAATCCGCCGGACGATGAATATCGTCATCGTCAGTGAAAATGACGATACGGTAACATTAGTATGTCGTTCAAAGCCATCGTCAACAGTATCGTCCCTGCAAGGACGGCTGATGGGTTCACCAATACATTCCACGATTTCGGGCAGCCCTAATACATAAGTCTGAGTTTAGATGATGATACTTTTGTCGCTTATTATAGGAATTTTCTTTTTTGTGTCGCCCTTCACGTTTACACAAATACTCTTTCATCAAGCAAACTTTTTGACATTTGTTTCTTCTTAAAACAGTGAAACGAACATGTATACAAATGTAAACATCACATTTGTCATTTCGGTCTTAAAAAAATTTTCCCTTTCGTTCTACGAGCTGATGGAATATGACATCATGCATTCCTGACATATGTTGGCTAAAATGATCGGAAGCCTTCCTGCAGGGGTTAGACGACGCTACTGCGGCGTGCTCTTCAGCGTTATTGCCATCAACTTCTGTCGTTTCTTATCGTCAGTCATTTTTCTGACGATTCTTCAACGTAACAGATACAAGACTTAAAGCGGCCAACGACAAGCACTCAATTTGAGATTCTTGTGGCAAAATTTAAAAATAAGCCATTTAGCTTTGAGTATGCAAACAAACAAGCGTTATGTAACACAATTTAAAAGAGGAGTGGGAAATTAATGACCCACAAATTAATGCAGTAGGATCATCTGTGCTGGATGGCTATGGTTGGTGCAAGAAATATTATATATTATTGGGTTGCCCAAAAAGTAATTGCGGATTTTTTAAAAGAAAGTAAATGCATTTTTAATAAAACTTAGAATGAACTTTAATCAAATATATAATTGCCATTTTTTTAGATAACCTTTTGCCATCTTCCTGGCAAATTTAGTATTCCACGCTCATAGAACTTCTGGCCTTTATCTGCAAAAAACTGAACCAAGTGCGATTTTATAGCCTCATCATTGCCGAAAGTTTTACCATTTAAGGAGTTCTGCAAAGATCGAAATAAATGGTAGTCTGATGGTGCAAGGTCAGGGCTATATGGTGGATGCATCAAAAGTTCCCAGCCAAGCTCACTCAGTTTTTGGCGAGTGACCAAAGATGTGTGCGGTCTAGCGTTGTCCTGGTGGAATATGACACCTTTACGATTGACCAATTCTGGTCGCTTCTCCTTGATGGCTGTATTCAATTTGTCCAATTGTTGACAGTAAACATCCGAATTAATCGTTTGGTTCCTTGGAAGCAGCTCAAAATATACGACACCCTTCCAATCCCACCAAACAGACAGCATAACCTTCTTTTGGTGGATATCAGCCTTTGAAGTGGTTTGAGCTGGTTCACCATGCTTGGACCATGATCGTTTTCGACTAACGTTGTTGTAAACAATCCATTTTTCATCTCCAGTTATGATTCGTTTTAAAAACGGATCGAATTCATTGCGTTTAAGGTGCATATCACAAGCGTTGATTCGGTGTGTTAAATGAATTTCTTTCAATACATGTGGTACCCAAATATCAAGCTTTTTCACCAGTCCAAGACTTTTTATGTGATAATGAACGGTTGATTTTGGTATATTTAACTTCTCTCCTATCTCACGCTCAGTTACATGACGATCCAATTCGATTAATGCTTTGATTTGGTCATCATCAACTTCATTTGGCCGACCTGAACGTGGCTCATCTTTAAGTGAAAAATCTCCAGAACGGAATTTGCGAAACCAATTTTGACACTGTCTTCCTTTTAAGGCTTCATCACCATACACATCTCGTAACTTTTTAGCAACCTGCTCCGCGTTTTTTCCTTTACGGAAATAATAAAGTAAAATATGACGAAAATGCTCCTTTGTGGGCTCCATATTAAAATTGACGCCAAACAAACAAATGTAAACAAAATTTCGCGCACTTTTTTTCTAAAGCAAGCTAAAAGTAACAGCTGATAACTGACAGAAGAAAGAATGCAATTACAGAGTCACAAGCCGTTGAAAAAATTTGTCAACGCCGACTATATGAAAAATCCGCAATTACTTTTTGGGCAACCCAATATTTTTTAAAATGGTTTAACAATCCGACAGGCGCTAGAAACTATAGAAAACTCTATATTAACCGCCATGGATACCATGCTATCAATACGCAATGGTAAGGGCATTTATTTGCAGCCCTTATACAGGGCGAAGAGACCTGCAGCGTAGTTACGGAAGTGGAAACCGTAACATGTTTATGATTGGTAAACGTTGTTAGCCCTGTTTCCTTAAACACCCTGCACCTTGTATCTCTGGTGTAAATGGTTGGGTGT